GACTCCATCGTAGCTAATGGCGTCTCAATGTTCTTTCCCCTCAGAAATCAGATTAGCTTGAATTTATGTGAATTATTTTGAATTAACGTGAATTCATTTGAATTACTGTATATTAATTTGAATTAACGTGAATTAATGTGAATTAATTTGAATTGACATGAATTAATTTGAATTGACGTGAATTAATTGGAATTAACGTGATTAATATGAATTAACGTGAATAATATGAATTAACGTGAATTAATTTGAATTAACGTGAATTAATTTGAATTAACGTGAATTAATTTGAATTAACGTGAATTAATTTGAATCAACGTGAATTAATTTGAATTAACATGAATTAATTTGCATTTGAATTTTTGGTTTACACCAAAAACGGTACTTGTTTCCCCCTAGCTTACAAATTTGCAGCATATACCTACTCTACTTACCATCACTCCCACAAACCCACCAAAAATTGTTACTTAAACAAACGAGCCAGTTTTACTTAGTTAATTGACGCCCGTCGTTTAAGATAACATTTTTATGTGCTTAAAGTAATATGGCATGATGTTAGAACCATTTATAATTAATAGTATGGAGTAAAAAATTACCGACCCATATCAATCTTATCTAATTTCGCCAAACTGTTTGAAATTATCCTATACAATCGTGTGTATCTTCAAGTAAGACAGCAACTTACTGAGCAACAACATGGATTCTTACCCTGGCGATCTACGACGACAAACCTAACAATTCTTGCGCAGTTTGTGTCAAAAACTCTTTACAACCGCGGTCAGGTGGATGTGTTATACACAGACTTTGAAAAAGCTTTTGATCGTGTGGACCACAGCATTCTTATTAATAAAATGTTTAAGTTTGGATTTTCAAGTCATCTTGTTCAATTCTTTGCGTCGTACCTAACCAACCGCCGGCAGATGGTGTTATATGGGGGCAGTTATTCTAGAAGCTATATTTCAACTTCGGGAGTGCCGCAAGGGTCCAATTTGGGGCCCTTGCTTTTTTTATTATTCATTAATGATCTTAGTGATGCAATTCGTTGCAAAAACCTAGCTTACGCGGATGATTTCAAAATATATACCGAAATTAACTCGATGAGTTACTGTCAAGAATTACAAAAAGATATAGACAGTATGTATGCGTGGTGTAGGCGCAATAAGCTCATGTTAAATCCTTTCAAGTGTAAACTAATTACTTTTACTAAAAGGAAATCACATATTACATACGAGTACAGTATCCAAGAGCATATCATAAAAAGATGCTACTCAACTAAGGATCTAGGTGTCCACTTCGATAGTAAACTGACGTTCAATGACCACATTCATCACATAGTTAGAGAGAGTGTAAAAGCCTACGGTTTTATTGTTAGAAACTGTCAAGATTTTTCATCTCTGAAAGCATTAAGGCAACTTTATTATTCATACGTCAGATCCAAATTGGAGTATGGGTCTTTGATCTGGAATCCTTGTTACGACACGTACATCTCGTCTATTGAAAGAGTACAAAGAAAGTTTTTGAAGTACTGGTATTTAAAAGCGGAAGGCGTTTACCCTGAAAGGAATGTTAAATATGGTGTACTTCTGGAATACGCTGGATTCGAAAGCCTATCTGCGCGAAGGAGGTGTACAGCAATGGCATTCCTATATAATTTGTGTGACAACTTAGTGGATTGTCCAGAATTGATTCAGCAGTTAAAGTTTCATGTGCCTCGACAGCAATCCCGAAACAATATTACGTTCTTCTGTCCTAGAGTGAAATCATACACTTTATTAAGATCCCCAATACATTTCATGTGTGACACATTTAATAAAATTAGTAATGAATGTGATATATTTACCTGTAGTAAGAACTATATTCTTGAAATAGCGTCTAAATAATTCCTAATATCTTTGCGTAGGTACTTTATTTTCAAATCATTTGTTTTTTTTTTGTTTTTTTATATTATTTGTTTCTGCTGAGTATTTTTTTTTTATCTTTATTTTTTTGTTCTCACTTTTAGCGTTTATTACTAATCTAAGATTAATAACTTTTCTTTATGTTTTTTTTCGCCTTTGTCCTGTAAATGGGTGTTCCTGTTGGGCAAATAAAGCATTATTATTATTATTATTATTATTAAATTGAGGATAGACTCTATTCTGACAGGGGTCTGTTAGATTTTGTATATGTCGTAGGCTTTTAGTGAAAGCTGTCATTTCAATCATTCATATGAAACTGTGGCACAGTGTACTTTCAAGGGCCAACCGATGGGGTCTCTTCTTCCCCTTCAAGATCGATAAATGGTATCCCTTATCGATCTAGAAGCAAAAGAGAACTCTCTACACGTCAAATTATCAGCGTTTCACTAAATGACTAGGCCTCCTACTAGGCTTTCACTAAAAGACTACGACATTTAGGTACATCCTAGCGTTTTATAAGAAAACTGGATAGCAACAAGCATTTAACACAAGGAATATGTACTTGATTTCAGGCAACGAACTACATTTCTAAAGCATTTCATTACCTTAGCACGTTTGTGTTGCACCAGACACAATGTTATAAAAGCTAAATGCATTTGTGTACATGCGGGGTTAATATTAGAGCTGTTAATATTGCGTGGTAGAACCGACATTAGTTAATTACACTAATTGTTGTATATGTACACGATTTAATACCGCCACAACCGTGATTATTTAAATTTTGTGCGCATACCATAAATACTATTGTGCATGTCTATTTATACAATCGTATAAATTTATCCCTTATCCTACCCGCAATTTACCATGAAAGTACTATTAAACACATTTGCAAATTTTAATTTAGCATCTGTATCTCCATTAATGTAGATACTGTGCTTTATTCACTTTATTCAGATAAATAGCTCGAAACTACTTAACATTTTCGACCCAACCTAAAAGTTTTTTTAAGATCAAAACCAAATAGTTGGGGGGGGGGGGGGGGGGTGCCTGCACATGCATTAAGTTTGCAATTTCCATTTACTTAAGGTTAGGTTTGCGCATGCGTATAAATTATGGTCAATAATTTAACAATTTTTGAAATCTGGGCATGGGTTAACTGAAAAAGATTTTGGATATGAATAAATCCATTTTAATTAATGTAGTGAGTATCCCAGATAGACAGCGACTCGCCCGCCGCTGCCATGAAGGTCACCGGTGTCGGCAGAAGTCTTCAATTCTCTTCTTCCTCATTCGTTCTGTGAAATCTTATACCGATGTTCCTAGACCTTTCGTAATTTTCTAGAAATGTTCAATTTAATATATGCAAGACAATTGGGAAATTGGTTGTACAATTAGAACTATGGGCTTAAAGCTCGGCTTAAAGTTATGCCCAAGTCTAGCGGGAGCAATATGACCGTTGCCTCCAAAGTCTACCACATTCCGCAGTTACTCAAACACGCCTATCATTCCTGTGGGTGGTGTTCAACGGTGCTTATTGTCTGCAACAACAATCCCTATGATCTACCGAACTATATTGTCGCGTGCTGCGATTATGGGGCGAAAGTGGATTGTGGATTCAGGCACTTCAGGTGCGACTTCCAGTGCAGCACTTAACCAAGCAAGAATCTTCAAAGCTGCAACCCAATTCCCTCAAGTCGCCTGTCCGGTGCCTCACGCCTTACATGCCCGCGTCGAAGCCGAACAGTATCCCAGCCACCACAAATAGTGCGAGTGATTCAAAAGAATGGGATACGTATCTGTGCGGGTTATTCTCAGAATATCAACCCTCAAATCGTAGTTCCCAATTCCAAAGATCGAGGAACTATTCGCAAGTCTCGAAGGGAGTAAGTGCTTTTACTAAATACCCAAGGGCTTACCTAGGCATTCAGGTTGATAAAAAGACTCAAAACGCTCTTACTATAAACGCCCATCGTGGACTTTCCCGGGTAAAAAGACTAATGAGGTGAATGCTGGCTCCAGCTGAGTGACAACAGTACATTGAAGGTTTATTGCATGGACTAAATGGCGTGGCGATATTTTTTAACGACCTTCTTATTTCCGGTCGTACGCGTGAGTAATTACAAGCGACACGTGAGACCGCTCTCCAGCGAATTCAAGACTACTATCAGCAGAGCATCGTCTCAGTCTCGACAAATGCGAATTTTATGTACCTACCTAGGGCCGACCTGCGTAGCTCAGATGACTTCACGTTTCTTTGGATACAAAGGTCCTGGGTTCGAATCCCAGGTAAGGTATGGCTGTTTGTAATTGTAGTGGGTTGAGCGGAGAGAGTAGCTAATTAGCTAACACTCCGCTCACTATAATATAAAGCCAAATAAAAAATAATGTTCGGTACTTGAGGTACACGATCTCTGGGAATGATATCGGCAAATTTACGAAGGGGTCGCCACCATTTTAGACGTACCTACATCGTCTAACGTTTACCAAGTTCGCTCTTTCATGGGATTGGTGACATTTTACACAAAATTCATCCGCCATCTAGCTGAAATTGCCACGCCACTGTACGCCCTAAATGAACTCTGAAACCTCTGACGATTGTTCTGTTAACACCATCACCAGTGTCACGGATCACAGCTGCAACAGACTCCACTGCTACACCACACCGAAGATCGCAGCGCTCAAGACGACAACTCGAGCGGCTAAATCTGTGACTTTTCAATTTACTGAAACATTTTTCAAATTTATTCTGTATTCCTTATACGTAAGGGAGGACTGTGGCGTTCATACTTATATTAGGCGGCAACAGGATCACCGATAGTTTCGTGACATAAAATTCGAATGACATGTAATGTGAATAATTGATTATACCTAACCTAAATTGTCCACATACACGACAATACTCCAATGATGTGAACGTTAAGGGTATCATCGAGGATATCGTTTAAAATATTCCCTTCGTACCTAACCTTGAATTAATCTAATGTGTTCCCAAAAATACTATTTCGGTCCGTTTCTAATATACCACCCTGTATAAAACGATTTAAATTATTAAAGATAGCCCCAAGGTATGCAGCAATAATACCAAAGGATATTAACATAGATAAATAAATAGATCAATGGTATTCTTTATTTTTGGACGAACAAACTACTAAAGCGGAACAGCATCTGAATTGTGACATAGTTTTTCCAAACCACAAGCTTCCACTTCCGATGCAGATTCCGTGATAAAAGTAGCACGGATACCGTGCTAAAGATTACAAGGTATTCCTATAAATAATGTTAAGCTTAACCCTTTTTCAGTATGCAGTGGAAAACATTCAGTCCTGTGATGTATGCAGGTTATCTGTCAAAGACGTCATTCTGCCTATACTAAATAACGCAAAATAACGTTTTTTTGTCAGATAACCTGCATGTTAAGTTTGGTATTTCTGATACATCACAGGGCTGATTATTTTAAATGTCACGTCCAACTTACTACATTTTCAATAAGTACAGTTACAATGACGTCAAATTACATTGTGTTACATAGGCGTATAGTAACTGGTGTCCAAATTACGTGCACTCATTTCTTGATCAATCCAATGCTTAATCGATGCAACTTTGGTAAATACCGACGGTAGATTTTGGGCACAGTCAAGTCCCCAAGATGTAATGCCGACTTGAAGATATCTTAGGGGTTGTCCCGAGATTTCACAAACTAGTGGACCACCTCCATCACCGTTACACAAGTCACTTCCGTTTTTTCCAATAGCACAAAGGAATGTTTGATGTAACTGAAACCATTTTCCTAAACGTGTTTTCCTCAATTGATTTTGACAACTGGGGTTTGAAATAAGCGAGAATTCGATTTTTTTCATTACCCTCCTGTAGACACCTTTCGGCACATCACTTCCCCATCCTGTAGCTGCACATTTCGATTTCTGTAACTGAGTATACGACAACGTAGACGAATCTGCTAAGCAAGCTGTATTCACATTCCTGTCTAACTTAAAAGGATTTTCCAAAAACAGTAAGGCTGCGTTGTACATTAAATTATCAACAACAAACTTGGGGTGTATGACAATTGATTTTACGCGCATGTTTTGGTGGGCTATGGGTTCAGTTTTTCCTGTAGCATTCCATTCTCCTACTCGTGCAATATACTTTTCAGATTCGTTGATACAGTGCGCCGTAGTAAGAACAACTTCGGGATGTATTAGGGAACCCACACACTGATACTGATACTTTAAATTCAAGAGTAAAGCGGTCCATGGATATTCACCAAACTTTGCTGTGGTAGCAGCAGAAATGTAATAATCTCCTGGTATTTCACTTCCAAATCCGCATGCAAAGTTAGAAGGTATTCCCTCCACTTTCTTCCTTAGAGGACTAGGGGCAAGTGGCTCACAACAGATTTCCCCCAGGGTTTTGCAGGGATTTACAGACTCCTGAGCTAATCTAAAAAAAAAATGAAAGTTAAAATACAATCATGCATATCATGTTCCTTACAATTGAATTTACACTTGTTAAAGTTAGGGGATAGTGAATGTGACAATAATGGGAAATTCGAGCGTTTCCCTTCTAGTTTCCGAATGGCAGTATCTCATGCTTCTAAGAAATAAGTATTTTGGAACGAATGTGTTAACGCTACCGTATGAAAATAAGAATCGCTCAAATCTGTATTGATTTAGCCACCTGCGTCATTAGTGATCACCCGAGATTTACGAAGGACGAACAACAAATCTTAATTACATACCTAGGTTCAAACAATTTACTCCCATCTTTGTTCACTTCTCCATTATTGCATAAGTAAAAAGGTGTACACAAGCACTCTGCCTCAGCTGGTTCAGGCGCTTTAGTTGACGTCGACTGGTAGTCAAAAAACGATCTAATTAGCATTTTTAGTTTATCATTTTGATTGCTAATTTCATCAAGAGTGTTTACAATCGTATTGGCGATACTAGATTTACCTTTAGAGAACCGTTGCGAATGAGAACCGATTAGGAGGCTAACTATAAGCAAACCGACCAGTAGAACCCGGTGCATTTTGCGTAAACGCTTGTACGTCTCAAGCAAAAATGAAGAAATATCATTGGAAGTAAGCAAGTAACAACGGATATTGTGGTTATGATTTATCTTCCCGTATCGTAAGTCGAGGTAGGTACTCACCATCAAATTGCGCAAGTATATCCCATTTGTATAATGTATATTATTTAACAAAGTAAACAACAGCTCAAATTAAGTACCTACACCTTTTATTTGATAAAAGAAAGGGTAATATTTGTAATTTTAAAAGATTAAGAAGGCACATTTTCTATTGTTCTGTTTATTAGCTAAATATAATGAATAATGAGAGTGACACCACTCAAAATTACAAACAAGACCATTAAGAATGAGTATGCTGCATTAAAATTGTTCCGCAATGGTGAACGGTTATACTCAATGGTGGCACAATGTAATAATATTTCTATTCATTGGATAACCTTAACCATCGCGTATGAAATAAAGCAGTAATGGGCTCGAAAATGAACAAATGTACTTAGTCCACAATTCAATGTACTTGATTGTGCTGAAACTTATTTACATGGTACCTTTAGCGTTTTCCAAAATTCTGGTTCAGAAAAAGTATGGCCAACTTCACACAAGCACCCAACATATTTTGCATATATTTTGTACTTTCAATATCAAAATGCAATGTCGTATGGTAGCGTTTGCGGCTGCTATACAGGAGGGTGTGGGACCAAATTCCTATGTCGACTGTTTTGTCTGGAGTTTTGCCAGGAGGTTTTCCCCTAGGTTTTCCCTCTCAGGATCCTAACTGCATTCACTTTGATCCACTTACTTTATCCAGCCTTAAACCCCTGTTGTCCGGCCGAAGAGATTCTGTAAAACTTTATCGGCCTGCTTGCGACGTCTTTGTAGGCAAAGGTGTCCGAGAAATGGAAACACTTTGCATTTCAACTTCTGACCCTTATAATGGGTAGGTAGTAGTAAATTTTGTCGAGTGACTTACGTTTATCGGTCATCATCCTACCGTTAAATTTGTCCTATATACTTTCAAGATTTAAATACCAGCTATTAGATTAATACCATATTTAATGCGGCATTGGTAGAAATCTAATACTCAAGGGTAATATAACAAGACCTTGATAAGTAGTCGACTATTTTGATTGCATCTAAATTTCGATTGTATTTTATAATAATTTAACGAGACATATTAATTTTGACGTTAATAAACTTATGAAAACCAGAGAGCGAAGCTCGAGGGCTATCATCTTTGACTATTAACGCCAAAATTATATTGAGTCAAATTAATAAATACAAGAGAATTTAGCAGCAACCAAAATAGTCGCTTATTAATCAAGGTCTTGATATATTTGTGAAGATTATTTCTTGAATCCAATTATTTATATCAGAGAGGCATATTCATAAAATGAAATAATTTGATACGATTTATTCAAAATATCAACAACAATCTACAAAATATAAACATAAGTATCAATTGAATTCCACATACACTTTACACTATATTCTTAATAACATTCCCCGTCTTCTTTTTTCATGTTCCAGGTCAAAATATCATTCAGTTTTGTGAATGGTGTTGATTCATTTAATTCACATTGACGATGCTCGCAAAATTTGGTAAACTACCTCCATACTTCCACAGACACATACTTTTTCATTTTTGCAATTCGCAGACGAATGCTCAAACTTCTGGCAATTAAAACAGCGCAATGGATTGGGTATGTACGCACGCACCTGCAAGGGATAAAAAGCAGCCTGTATAGTTTTGGGCAGTTTCGGGACATTAAAGGTGAGGACATGGTTTGCAGTGTCTATAAAGACACCATCGCGCGTTGTCCTTATCCGTCTCAGTTCCACTACACCCTGATCGCTCAGGTTTTCTCTTATCTCATCGGTTGAGCAGTTTGGAAGATCCCTACAGAATACAAAACTTTTGAAGTGTGCACCGTGGGGTACAACATCAATCTCCATACCTCCAAACATTTTACATTGTCTCAGCATTCTCGACTGTTTTGCAGAAACTGTTTCAACCAATATCTCGCCTTTGATTTTCTTCACATCTTTCACATTACCAGCTAGTCCGTATAACGTCCTACTTATTAAGAAAGGGCTTACATTCGTAAAATCCCCTTCCTTCCTTCTAAGGACCAGGAACCGGGGCACAGAGTCCTCCTTCTCGCTGGTACCTCTACTGTGGAGAGAGGGGAAACCCTCTCTTTCTCCATCAGCACTTTTAGCACAGATCTAAACACTCCAGATGTATCATGCTTGGTTAAAATAGTCTGCGCTTTCTTTGGATTTAAGCGTCTGGTGAGTTAAATCCAAACTAAATGTAACCAATATAACTATTTAGGATTCTCACCAAAAGTTTATTTTACAGAAACCAATAAGTAAAGAGGCCACACACTGCAGTGTTTCATCATGTAGAGAAATCTTTTTTATTTATTATAAGCAAGCAAATTGACTAGGTATTTTGTAATTTGTACTCGTGTTATCATAGTAGTGTCATATCAGCGATTGTGATGTAGCCGGGCAACCTCTACCATTATGTATTTATTATAATTTATACGATGCCTATTGATTTCAAAAAGAGAAATTCATTTTCTCATATTTTATAATGTACCTACTATACCTACATACCCAAATCGCAAATTATAGTATATTACTTGCGCACCGAGTGCGAAAGTAGGTTATTTTTCGAAGCGCCGAGGGTGATTGTATTCTAAGAAAAATAACCTTTCGTCGAGGTTCGTATACGATTTTATTCACGATCATCATTATAATCATTCCATTATCAAACATAAAATAATTCACTAAATTTCTACGTATTATATTCATCTTATGCGCTATCTGCAATACTATTGCCCTACATAAAATGTTGTCGGTACCTAATACAGATTTGGAAATTTACCTAATTAATATTCATATTAATTTAACATGTATGTTAAAAACTGGCCCATACTAAAGAATTTCAATGTACATCCACTCAAATAAGGGAAATTGAGTGTAGTAAAAAATGTACTCCCCGAATGAATTTTTGAAGTGAATGAACAAAGGTGGGCAGGAAAGGGTATAAGTAAAACTTCATGTTTTACTTGCTTATTTTAATGAGGTAAAGGTAAGGAAATCATCCACATTATGAACGACCAAATAATGTTGTGATCGACATTTGCGGTAATGCCTAATGACCATGTCAGTTTTATTATCCTAAAATGTACCTACAGCGATCTTTTGTGATTTACAGATTTAGACTGGGTTACAGTATTAGTATTATAATCTGTATAGATGTCAATAACGAAAGATTTATTCTCCAGATCCAATCAGGTAATCACTAAACACCTGTTCCAATACGATAGCCCTAAAAAATAGCATTATCTATTTCTAAAATGTGACAAATTACATTTAATTACCGGTCATTGTTTTTGGCATATGATCGCTACAATATTAGCAAGTGCTAGTGGAGTTCCTCAACTTAAAACAGTTCGGTGGCTGTAGATTGGCTGCAGTAGCAGGAGGTTTAATCGCCAATTCAGTGGCCCATTCGCTTTACGGGCACGCGAAAATAACAAAGTATGGCAGTATCCTCTTCAGGTAGTGCTACGACGTCTCCGATATGCAACATTATGATGCCATAAATTGCCATCCCTTGCTCTTCTCATGGGTCGCAGTCGTGACATCAAATTCGAATGACATGTAATGATTATAAATGTTAACCGAAAATGTCGACATACACGACAATACTACAATGATGTGAACGTCAAGGATATCATCGAGGATATCGTTTAAAATATTCCCTTCGTACCTAAACTTGAATTAATCTAATGTGTTCCCAAAAATATGATTTCGGTCCGTTTCCAATGTACCACCCTGTATAAAACGATTTAAATTATTAAAGATAGCCTGCAAGGTATGCAGCAATAATACAAAAGGACATTAACATAGATAAATAAATAATCAACGGCATTCTTTATTTTCAAACGAACAAACTACTAAAGCGGAACACCATCAGAATTGTGACATAGTTTTTCCAAACCACAAGCTTCCACTTCCGATGCACATCCCGTGATAAAAGTATCTGTGCTAAAGATTACAAGGTATTGCTATAAATAATGTTAGGTTTAACCATTGAATAAAAACACTAATTCAATGGTTTAACCTTTCTTCAGTATGCAGTGGAACACATTCAGCACTGTGATGTATCATTAACGTTAAACTTAACGTGCAGGTTATCGGTCAAAGACGTCATTTTGCATAACGCAAAATAACGTTTTTTGGCAGATAACCTGCATGTCAAGTTTGGCGTTTCTGATACATCACAGGGCTGATTATTTTAAACGTCACGTCAAACTGGCTACATTATTCAATAAGTACAGTTAAAGGTCAAATTACATTGTGTTACATAGGCGTATAGTAACTGGTGTCTAAATTACGTGCACTCATTTCTTGATCAATCCAATCCTTAATCGACGCAATTTTGGTAAATACCGACGGATTTTGGGCACAGTCACGTCTCAAAGATGTAATGCCAACTTGAAGATATCTTAGCGGTTGTCCCGAGATTTCACAAACTAGTGGACCACCTTCATCACCGTTACACAAGCCACTTCCGTTTTTTCCAGTAGCACAAAGGAATGTTTGATGTAACTGAAACCATTTTCCTAATCCAGTTTTCCTCAATTGAATTTGACAAAGGCGGTTTGAAATAAGCGAGAATTCGATTTTTTTCATTACCCTCCTGTAGACACCGTTCGGCGCATCACTTCCCCATCCTGTAGCTGCACATTTAGATTTCTGTAACTGATTATACGACACCGTAGACGAATCTGCTAAGCAAGCTGTATTCACCCTTCTGTCTAACTTAAAAGGCTTTTCCAAAAACAGTAAGGCTGCGTTGTACATTAAATTATGAATAACAAACTTGGGGTGCATGACAATTGATTTTACGCGCATATTTTGGTGGGCTATGGGTTCAGTTTTTCCTGTAGTATTCCATTCTTTTACTAGTGCAATATAGCTTTCAGAATCGTTGATACAGTGCGCCGTAGTGAGAACCACTTCGGGATGTATTAGGGAACCCACACACTCATAATGATACTCTAAATTTAAAACTAAAGCGGTCCATGGATATTCGCCAAACGTTGCTGTGGTAGGATCAGAAATGTTATAATCTCCTGGTATTTCACTTCCAAATCCGCATGCAAAGTTGAAAGGTATTCCCTTCACTTTCTTCCTTAGAGGACTAGGGGCAAGTGGCTCACAACAGACTTCCCCCAGGGTTTTGCAGGGATTTACAGACTTTTGAGCCAATCTAAAAAATGAAAGTTACAATACAATAATGAATATCATGTTCCTTAAAATTGAATTTACACTTGTTAAAGTTAGGTGATAGTGAATATTACAATAATGGAGAATTCAAGCGTTTCCCTTCGAGTTTGCGAATGGCAGAATCTCATAATGCTTCTAAGAAATAAGTATGTTGGAACGAATCTGTTAAGGATACCGTATGAAAAGAAGAATTGCTCAAATCTTTATTGATTTATAGCCACCTGCGTCATTAGTGATCACCGTCATCTGCGATTTACGAAGGACGAACAACAAATCTTAATTACATACCTAGGTTCAAACAATTTACTCCTATCTTTGTTCACTTCTCCATTATTGCATAAATAAAAAGGTGTACACAAGCACTCTGCCTCCGCTGGTTCAGGCGCTTTGGTTGACGTCGACTGATAGTCAAAAAACGATCTAATTAGCATTTTTAGTTTATCATTTTGATTGCTAATTTCATCAAGAGTGTTTACAATCGTATTGGCGATACTAGATTTACCTTTAGACAACTGTTGCGATTGCGAACCGATTAGGAGGCTAACTATAAGCAAACCGACCAGTAGAACCCGGTGCATTTTGCGTAAACGCTTGTACGTCTCAAGCTAAAATGAAGAAATATCATTGGAAGTAAGCAAGTAACCACGGATATTGCGGTTATGATTTATCTTCCCGTATCGTAAGTCAAGGTAGGTACTCACCATCAAATTGCGCAAGTATATGCCATTTTTATAATGTGTATTATTTAACAAAGTAAACAACAGCTCAAATTAAGTAGCTACACCTTGTAACAAGTTCATTTCTTCTTTGCATCATTCCGTATTTTACATTCGGTACGCCCTGTATATAAATTTCTACTTCTATGCGTTGGATTAGTTCCGCCAGGTGGCAGGACCTTACAGCGCGATCCAAAATTTCACATGCTTTTCTTTCCGATTCCGACTCTGATCGAACGAACAACTAAGCCGTTCTACGTGAGAAAAGAAAAACACGTGGGTAATCTTTGCCACCACTGTTAGTTAAAAACTTTGGCAATTCTACCCGTATTAATTGCGAGACAAGTAGTCTGCAGCATTTTACCGTTCATCGGGCTTTAACGTGAAACTTTTTTTCTTCGAGTAAGTACGCTTATCTAAATAATTTCTTTTCTTATGGCGGCCATTGTAGATTACGGATATACTGGAAGATGTGTAATTGAGGAACGCTTGGTATTTAATCCCTCTTAAATTTACTTAGAGGTAACGAATTTTACATGTGTGTGTGTAGGAAGTTTTAGCTTAAACTATTTTAGGGTCCTTGTTCGATACCGAAATTCCTTGTTCGGGGGAAATATCTTGTTCGAGATCACCTGTTGATTGGGGGAAAATTTTGGAGATTCATTATCAACCATAGACACCTAGGAGGTCGTGACCAACAACCTTATCTGAGAGAGATAAGAGCGGCCATTTTATGAAGACGAGGGAGAAACTCATTTAACTACATACTGTTTCGACATGATCGAGAATGCCTTTTTTTTTTGCTTGATCGGATATATTAATTTTTGTGTGGCTGCGACACTCCATCAGAGACACAGACATTTTTAGAGGGGTATCGAGATTTGAGCTTACCGCAAGCTTCGTAGGTCCTTCAGACATTTATTCATAATATATTCCGAACCCTGTGGTTTGGGCCCTTTTTGTTCTCTTTTGATTGCAGAGATGAATGGTGCAAACAGAGCTCTCTTTGCTGCCTCACATCTGGAATATTACATAAGGTAAGCGTTATATTCTATTTGCCTTGTTGTTACCGAACTTGCGTTGGGATATTTTCGTTACTAGTTGTGACCGGTAGTAACGTAACCATTTTGTAATTTATATGTGTGATTCATTTATTAATCTTAACGATCATTAAGGAACAGTAATTGGGGGCAATCATTTTTGAACTGGAGTATAATTGTTGGGAATTAATTGGGGGTTTTTATGATTTGTGCAGTGTGTAATTTCACATATATATCTATATTATTTTGCAATTTATTTGAAAGCAACCAGCAATATAGAGCCGTTTGATTTGTATTTGTGGTTATTGTGCATCCTGTATCTTCCCAATTTTATGCAGGGTGAGTTGATAGTGTACATTAGAAATTGGGTGGCGCTCAACCATAACGCACGGAGATTGTCTTGCCCAGAACGAACTTTACTGCTTTGAACCTTCTCTTGCTTCCATATTTAAAAACACTGAGCTTAGCTGGCCGTTTATGCGGCGGGTTTTGTTAAAAGCAGCGCCAAGCCAGACCCACTGTTATAACCTTTTATTTGATAAAAGAAAGGGTAATTTTAAAAGATTAAGAAGGCACATTTTCTATTGTTCTGTTTATTAGCTAAATATAATGAATAATGAGAGTGACACCACTCAAAATTACAAACCAGACCATTAAGAATGAGTATGCTGCATTAAAATTGTTCTGCAATGGTGAACGGTTATACTCAAGGAAGGATCATATTAAGTTGACCTTAAAATTGGCCACTTTTGTAATTCTTGCAGCTTACTTAATGTTCGAGTTTATTGATTTTTAAAACATCGCACACAAACGGTAAGCAGCGTAATTATTTTCTATTTAACTCTATATCATGTCACGTCACGTCGTCCTTGTCTTACGCCTCAATTCCGCTTTTGCATCCCATAACAATAATTTTTGCTTTTTGGTTCTTTCAGTAATTTTTCTAACAAAAAAATGAGTTCAAGCTCAACGATCATGAACCTAAAGCATTGTGTCCTACTGGCCGGCTATATAGGACTTATGACGTCAATATCTCAAATGCGCACTTATCCACTGCCCATATGGCAATTGATCGGTGAACATGAAAAGTCTAAACTAAATGATGATGAAACATTAAAATTACCTTCAAATTGCACTCTAAAATGTAAATTTTCCCAAATTAACCGACCTTTCATCTCTAGTTAATCGTGGTTTTTAGACCTGTCGTGTGATCATGAAATATTGACAAAGAATTTCGCACAATGAGTTAGCTACTAGGTACAAACTGTAGAGAAGTTTCAAATTAGGAGGAGTAAAGCAAATGTATAAACCATACAATTTCAGAATTAATCATAAGCAGTTTCAACTGTACGTGTCTTAGACCAAACCACAAATTGTAATTACATTGCAAACTTATACGATATTTACCGGATGCATAATCACAAATGAAATTTTCGCTTGGTTTTGTCATGGCGTTACATAGTATGAATTCGTGCACAAGACAATAGTTTAGCTTTACATTTTCTAAGTCCTATTTAATGAAATTAAATTAAATCTCTCATATATACGAGCTTTCAAAGGACTACCATCATACATATCTTAACAGCAAAATATAAACGTTAGAGAATCAAATTTTCTGCTTAAGGCAAATTAATAATATACTTGTACACATATACTATGTGCTGAAAGGGCTCATTTTATAGCATTCATTAACATTAAAGGTTTTCGACACACGAAATCATTCAGGTCTATCAGACTGGAGAGCTTTACAGCATTGTCGAGCTATGCGCACTTAAAGTTGTGCGAGTCGTCCAGACGTTCCATTTTCCCTCTGTGGGAGTCTCTTTTCTGGCATTTCGTTGTCGATATATTCGCAGTCAGAGCGGCAACCCGCCAATGAATACGCTGCATTTGTGAGTACTACTCATTGTTGTATATCAAACGCCCGCCCAACGAAAATATTTAAGTGAGCTTCGAGATACTTTGGCTAAACGTCAACAAAGCGGAGAAGGTAACCTTATAATCAGGTATATACACGGTACTCCTCAAATCGTAACCACCAGCATTAAAAAAAACTAAGCAGTTCAAGTTCCATAAACAGTTGCTATTACCAAAACGTGCGCGGCTTAAATACTAAAATGCAATTAATCTCAAAAGAAATTTTGATATGCCCCCATGACATTATGTGTCTAACTGAGACTTGGTTAAAGGATAGTGTTAGCAACGCAGAACTATTTCCAGAATATTTTGAAGTGTTTCGTTGTGATCGCAACTTTACCGCACTTGATGTAGCAAAGGGTGGCGGAGCGCTGATAGCGGTCAAAACTGAACTTTTCACGAAAGTATCTGCGCTTGATCTCACCTGTATTAGAAATACATTCAAAAATATTGATATTGTTGGTTGTACTATTTCAATTAATAAATTAGAAGCTCATATAATTAATGTGTACATTCCCCCTAATATACCTAGTAATGACTTTAACGATTTCTTAGATGTGCTCTCATGTTTAAATCATTTATTTGAGACTAAAATCTTAATTACTGGTGACTTTAACCTCCCTGCATTTTCTGAAGATGCTAACTATTTGGACAATAACTGTAACAACTTGCTAAACTTTTTGCAATATACAAACTGCTTACAACTAAACGAAATACGCAACATCAATAATCGTATGCTGGACTTAATTATTAGTAACGATAGTTTTAACGTTTCTAAAAGCGATTTCGCTCTTACCCCCGAAGACACTCACCACCCTGCTTTAGATTTTGTGTTTAACCTAAACGAAACCATTACAATCAGTACTACTCCTGGGTATAATCAGAATCGCTACAATTTCCAAAAAGCTGATTTTATCACTCTCTATCATGACCTTTCAAGAAGAAACTGGACTTTTTTGGAATCCTACACTGACGTAAATATTGCGTGCCAAGCATTCTATGAAACTTTGAATACCACTTTTCAGAGAAGTGTACCCACATATCTTCCTAAAAAGAAACAAAGGTTTCCGCCATGGTTCATTGCAGAATTAATTCGAGCCATAAAACTAAAAACTAAACTTCATAAGAAGTATAAAATTACCAAATTATCTATGTATCTCCATGAATTCAAAAAATTGCGAACTTTTACAAAAAGATTGCTATCAACTTTACTTCGCAACTATCTGATCTCAACTGAACACAACCTACATGATAACCCTAACAATCCCTTCTACAATCGATATCCAAAGTAGGCATTTGCGCTCGTATTTGACAACGCAAACGTCATCTTTTTCGAGGAATGTCACTTTGTCGCTTATAAGCGACAAAATAGAAAAAACGCTCGCTCTCCCAATTATTAACTATAAATCAAATATGCATTGCTCAGAGTATCCAATGACAACGAGTAAATGACATCTTTCATTTGGACATAAGATTAAAATGATTTGAGTGAAAAATTTAAATTTTTGGAAATATGTGAACTGCTCGATTGTAGAAAAAATCTTGTGTGTAATTCGAGCGCAAATTGATTGTCGATTTCAAGAGATTGCCGCGCTCCTTCGTCGCGCGTCAACTGTCTCTTTCAATCGACAATATATCATTTTGCGCTCTTAATACACAAATAGCTATTGGTCATATATTCGATCCAAAAAGGGCACGTCACGAATTCCCAATGAATTAGAATACCAAGATCGTACATATAATACCGCCCAAGATATCGTCAACGCATTTGGAACATACTTCTCCAGTGTTTACGTAAAAACTTCTGCCAATTCGACGGACTTCTCTTTCTGCAACTACACATCGCTTATACATCTGCAACAGATTACCGAAAAGGACATAATAGAAGCCATCAAAAAACTTAAAGACAAGATAACTGCCGGAACGGACCAAATTCCTGCCTTTCTAATTAAAGATTGCGCTCGAATATTTGCGTATCCCCTATCACTTTTATTTAATTTGTCATTGAAACAATGTGTTTTCCCGAACGTATGGAAAGTTGCGAGAGTTTGTCCTGTTCTCAAATCTGGATCGTCGTCAAACATTGATAATAAATTATCGTCCAATATCGATTTTGTGTAACTTTTCAAAATTATATGAAATTATACTGTATGGAAAATTATTTGATCAATGTAAAGCACTCATTACGGAACATCAACATGGTTTTGTGCCTCAGAGATCAACAATAACTAATTTGACCTATTTTGTACAGTACTGTTCGGAAATAATAGACAAGCGTGGACAAATAGACGTCATCTATACGGACTTCCGCAAAGCTTTTGATCAAATAGACCATCACATAGTCCAGAAGTTAATTGCGTACGGTTTTAGCCATCCAATAGTTCAACTCATTGCATCGTATTTAATGGATAGAAAACAGTTCGTGTCATATAATGGCTACAATTCTCACACCTTCACGCCCACATCTGGAGTACCTCAAGGGTCCAATTTAGGGCCATTTTTCTTCGTGGTTTTCATTAATGACTTACCTTCGGTAATTTCTACGCAGAAACTATTATTTGCAGACGATCTGAAAATCTTTTCACAAGTTAAGAGTATCTCCGATTGCGAAAAGCTTCAAATGGACCTGAACAACATACATAATTGGTGCAGCATGAATAACCTCCAGTTAAATATAAGCAAGTGTAAAATTATCTCATACTCTCGTAAACTTAGTGACATTCAGTTTAATTACACCATATGCAATACGCCTTTAAACAGACACAGTGAAACAAAGGACTTAGGAATCTACATGGACAAAATGTTAACGTTCTCAACTCACATTAATAGCTTAGTTCAGCAGTCATTTAGAATTCTAGGTTTCATCATTCGTGTTAGTCGTGATTTCACTGATATATCGACCATTAAATCATTGTATATATCATTGGTTAGAAGTAAGTTAGAATATGGTTGTGTAATTTGGAATACCTCATTTAAAAAGTATGAAAACAATTTAGAAAACATACAACGTCGGTTCCTCAAATATCTATGCTTTCGTATGGATGGACAATATCCAATTAGAGGATATTCTAATGATATCATGTTAGAAAGGTTCGATCTACCTTCGCTATCTTCTAGACGTAAACGGATGGCTATTGCTTTCTTGTATAAATTTTTAAGTAACAATATAGATTGTCCTGTACTATATAGGTATATGTGATTCGCAATTCCACGGTTGTCGTCTAGACATACCGTCACTTTTTCGTTGCCAATCTGTAGAACCCAAATACTGCAAAATTCTCCTATATACGCCATGTGTAATCAATATAATAGCATAGCCCACGTTGTTGATATATTTAATACCACCCTTAGTATATTATTAGATTCCGTTAATTAACTAAAATAATAATTCTCAATTTTTTTTTTTATTTTCACTTATATCATGCTTAAAGTTTTTCTTTTTTTTCGGTTATTATTCGCACTACATGTATATCTTACCTAATATTGTCCTAGTTTATGGAACTATTCTGTTTGGACAATAAACTATTATTATTATTGTCGATGTTTCTTGTGAGAACTCAGGTCTAGCCTGGTTAACTAATCGCAGGGATTAAAATCAAGTAACGATTAGTGTCTGTGTCTGTGTCTGGTGAAGTTATGTAGGGTTCTAAAGAAAAATAAAAAATAAAAAATAAAATAAATATTCGCACACTCACAATGGAAATCTAGGGATAGTATGTAATTCATACTTACCAACATAGCTATTAATGGCCACAATAGTCAACGCTATCAGGAAAGAAGAAAACAAAACAAAAATATCATTATAATAATTCCTGTACTTTTATTAAATAGAGTTTATTGTGTAAGTGTTTCTTTGGCTTTGCGTTTGGGTTGAATACGAGTGGGTTGTGATAATGTGGTGTGCTTCTGTGAAGAAGGAGTTTTGTGTTTTTTAACTGTGCTAGGACGTGTAACTTTATTCAGTGGACCTGTCTTTGTGGTACCTGTTGCCTTACTTGTATTTATGGTGTTTCTTTGTTCTTGAGGTTGTATTTGTGTGGTTGCTTGGGTTTTTGGTGGAGATATTACAGTATGTTGTGAGCATGTAGTTCTGTTAAGGTTTTCGCGTTTCGGTTGAATACGAGTGGGTTGTGATAATGTGGTGTGTTTCTGTGAAGAAGGAGTTTTGTGTTTTTTAACTGTGCTAGGACGTGTAACTTTATTGGGTGGACCTGTCTTTGTAGTGCAAGTTGCGTTACTTGTATTTATGGTGTTTCTTTGTTCTAGTGGTTGTATTTGTGTTGTTGCTTGGGTTATTGATGGAGATATTACAGTATTTTGTGAGCTAGTGATGCTGTTTAGGTTTTTGCGTTTGGGTTGAATACGAGTGGGTTGTGATAATGTGGGTTGTTTCTGAGAAGTAGAAGTATTGTGTTTTTTAACTGTGCTAGGACGTGTAACTTTATTGGGTGGATTATTATTATTATTATTATTATTGTTCTTATCCGTTATCTGGACAGGGGATAGGGAACAAATGTGAATCTGAAATCAGTGTCCCAATCACTGCGCATCTCCCTCGACTTGCGTGCGTTAAGCTATTTATACCAAACTAATAACGGAACCGACGCTACTTTGGAGTCTGGCGTCTATTCTAAACCAATAGAAAGAATGCATTTTTTCGCTTCTAATGCAATTTTAGTTTTGGCCAAAGAGGACCGCTACGTTAGTGAGGTCCGCTGTTATAGTAACAACCCAGGTGATTTAGATGCGTAGTTTTACTAAGAATTGAACTTGCCGAAGTAACTTTCTTATTTATAAAGAAATTTTTACGGAATTTTGATGTGTTTCTGATACAAGCAACTTTTCTATGGTTACCAATTTTCTTGCTTGTTTGTTTCTGTATCAGTCACGACCTTGTCACTGTGGGCACACAAACCAAGGAACGCCCGTAGATTCACTCCTCTACATCTACGGTCACGAACGACAAAATTCTTTTTGCCAAACTAAAAATAATAATAAAAAAAAACTCTTCGTCAACAGAACACTAATCTACACTAAAAAACCAAAAATATAATTTTCGTTGAAAAAGTGTTTGGATAATATTATATTTCTCAATCTATTCTTAAGATCCCAACACTTTTTGAACAAAAATGTTATTATTCTTATGATAGTATCACGTTAAAAACCTAAGCGATGTGACTTGTGTGTTAAAATATTCATTATTCATTATTATTTTAATGTTCAAGTATCTCTCAATGTTTGTCATAAATGTCGTTCGAAAAATTCAATTTAAGGGCGCCATTAATACGCGTATAAGCAAATGTAAGAGTTAAGTAAAAAGAAAGTGGAAAAACTGTCTGATGAATTTATTAAAACGGTTTAGTCACGTGTTATCGGTACCCGGGATTGCCAGCTGGAGTATGCGTTAGCACAAAATCTGGATTGCAATAATCTTCACAGCTGCTACCTCTAATTGCTTTTCACAAAGCGATTATTTTTATGTAGCTCTCTTTTATTTTTTCTAATGGGGCGGTGATCAATGACTGAAGCATTATCATCTATGAAAGAGGAATGTATTTATTTATTTCTCTTTATGAACATCGCGTTATTTTTTGAAAGGGATCCACGAAACGTATTTACTCTAACCAAGCAGAAATGAGTTCAACGTGGACACTTCTGAAAACCAAATTACGGTTTTGCAGTAAATCTATTTGCATTTGAAATTGAAGTGGAACATCCATGAGTGGATAGCAGAGTTAAAACAAGTTACATTAGAGATTTCAATCAGGAATTGCTTACAAAGTTTTCTGGATACACGAATGAAGTTGGAGAGTTTGACAAATACTTCTAATTTAACTTGTGATGATTTAGCTAAAGGAACGGATAATCGTCACGGGGAGAGATTGAAAAGTCTACTAGCTTTTAAGACATTTACTTGCATAATAAATCGTAGGTTTATTTATTTATACAGGTGCCTACCTATGGAAGTATGGGGAACTAAAATAACAGAAACTTTGTTAACAAAAACAAGTCGAGCTTTTTGTACAAACACGACTCATTGTTTTCCTCTTAAATTACTGAAATCACATACCAATTTAGTAAATAGTAAGTCGAGTGAAAAGTATACTGCCTCTGTACTAGATACTGTAGTGTAATCGGTAATCACACCTTAGATCGAATTTCCGATTATATAGAGAATATTCCTTTGAATTTGCTTGGGGAGAAATTTTTTTAATAGACCGCATATTAATTGTGGATCTTTTCATTTGACAGTCATTCGATTAAAATGCACTTCAGGATCATACAAATTCAAGCAGGTCGAGTTCAAACTAGTTATATTTTCTGTGCAATAACCATCCTAACTGCATAGATCCACTACTTTCTTTTCACTTTATTCTACGGAAATAAAAGTATGTGTAGCCAAAGTCTGGGACATCAACTTTCCACTTGTTGTTAAGTGTCATGACTTTGAACTGTTCATTTGCAGTTGAAGCTCTTTCCTCCGTGGGGCTTCCATCTTCCTTTTGGTCGGGGGGTTACAATATTTCCTGATTTTTCGACTTCTGGTGAACATCGGTCTTGACCTATCTTGTTAAACTTTAAGGATCCAGTTCGTCTCTCTGCTAGTTACTCTTTAGTAGTGATGTACTCCATTTTTTTCTCTATTGACTATTTTTGAAGGCTTCGTAGGTTCTTTGCTCCCATGGCACAGGGATCTCAGTTCTTTATTTTCTACCTTAACGCAAAGATACGAGTTTTATAAATTGCATGGCCTTCGGCGATGTACATCGTCTCTCTTAAAGTTACTAGATGTATGGAAAGTACCGCAAATTCGCAATTTTGGGGCGGAAAGTGGCGGGAAATTTGAATTGATAAAAGATTTTAGCTGGGTCAGCTCACGATCAACTCATGGCCGGTCACTAGGGCTCGGCGAAATGCAAAGTAAAGATTTAAATTCGGATTTGAAATAAATAATTGATTTTTCTAATACTGCACGCATAGCCACACTACGAGTGCTTTTAACAACATAATTGTTAATGTTCTCAGATTTTGCGGATAATACAAAGTATAAACGCCTTTTTAAGTTTTACCACTTTCGCTTTTTTGAAACAACCAAATCTCCGAGAAAGATTCTGATCTTAGCGGTTTCTTCTCATCTTTTCTAGAATTTTCGAATTGCTTTTCCGAAAAATGTCATCACTTATTTAGCAAATTTTACCGTTAAAGGAAGATCGGGGCCACAAGTTTGTTCGTTCCACATTTAATTCAGCACATTGTATACGAAATAAACGAGAATTTTGTCTCTGAGTGAAACTAGAAACTAAGGCACAACATTCACGTAGTTTTCTACCACGTTTTCAATTTGAAAATTGCTGTCGTCTATAGAACTGACGTACATAATCTGTCAGTCAGCCATTTTGGGGCGCTTTTATTGTTATCTCTTTCCAACACACGGGTACAATGGATTGTGGTACTTTCAAACATCTAGTAACTTTAGTCTCTCCTATCTGTACTTCCTGACTAAGCCATCTAGGATCTGAGTTTGTCATTTCATTCCAGATATCTCCGTATATCTTGATATTAGGTACTCCAGTAGCTCACTTTCAAACATATTTCTAACATAGGCACGAAATTCCCAACATTTTTTATTATCTCTAACCCTCATCGTTGGCTTATCTACTGTCGACATAATCTAAAGCAAATAAAGATGCTATACAAGTAGTTGCTAAAACTTCCAATCTTATCAGCCGTAGCTTGGAAAACTTATGATTACTCATGAATGTGGATCTTAATATATTACAGTGTAATTAATAATGGGGAATCTACTTCAAAATGAGAGTCACGATCGTGTGCACTTTATGTTATGTACTTGCAGTACTGGTGCGGGATAGTTCTAGCCGTATGCTAAGAAGTACCGAAAACGGTAGGTCCATAGGGTTTTAGTACATTTCCAAATAAATGCGATAGTACAATGTTACAGAGGCCGGCTGTCCAGATGACGATTACAAGTTGTATAATGATCTGTTATTTACAAGAAGGCGTAATGGTCTTAGTAACCCTATGTTCCATTGGTCGAAGGGTATCGTCTGTTTTGTGATAAGTGGAAACTTTAGTAAGTATACCCATAGTGTAAGGAAATTGTTATCCTTATCGAGATCTGCTCTTCACATGAAGCGAGTGACACGCTAATTCTAACAAAGTGAATCGAATTACTTTTACTGGTCGCGCAGGGATGTACCCCAGCGACTATTATACTGTCGTATCTTTTCGGGCGCTATGATGGCACGTGAGCGGTACGAGTGCATTTATTCATATTTCAGACAGATCTCAATTCGGTGTATGCAGCTATTAACTACCATGTAATTTCAGTTTAGGACTGTTATACCCGAGGTTATACCCCATGCGACCTGTGACGTCTGTAAAATGTGATTTAATTATTTTGTCTCTCTCGATTTGTGAAAACCTGTAAAAACTGACACAAACCAATTCCTAGCCATGTTCACTATGAATTAATTAAAGAAATTTCTCTTTTCAAATTTCCGTAAAGTTGGATATCTTGACAACAAACTCAAAATAATAAACGTATCTAATTTTTAATTTGCCTATTTACAATTTTTGTCTTTATGATTTTATCTAATAAATTTCTAATTAAACAAATTCTTTTTCGTGGCACGGTTCTATGAATTACCTCTAACTTAATAAGGCGAGCTGTCAAAATTTCCTTGCTAAAAATCGTATGTTTTTCTATTCAGTTAGTTACTAATAATAATGTTTTACGATTCCGAGTTTAACCATCTTCTTTGATTTTACGGGCAACAAACCAACTATAAATTTATTCTTTACACTTTATTCAGTGGTAGATAAAAGGTACGAGCGCGCTTATAAGTTTCATTAACCAATATTCGGATTTTTTTATCTCCTTAGAGGTCAACGTTAACGATTTACTACTTGCTCATTAATTTCGCGTGGATGAAATTGTCCACGTTTGATTAATCATTCCGAAAGTTTTTTCTCTGTTTTAACTGGTACTAAGGGAACTTTTGCTAGAGCTAATATCAATGGACCACGTAGCAATTATCCGTGCTCAAACAAAGAATCCAAAAAATGTCCTCTTCCCCTTCTTAATGTTTTTTCAATTATATGCCTAAGAAATGGTACGGTAATAAATCACATCCCAGGTATTGAGTCAAATATGCCGATTTTTACTTTTTCCACGCCGAATGATTCATGCCGAATTCGCAATGTAACTATATACTACATGATTAAGATAATAATAAAATCTCGAAATGCCCTGACGGTCTAGTCTCCCGATCCGATTCATTAAAGAAATCAAACGCCTTACAGAGATCAAATTAGCGCAGAAAGACGGGCCTTAATTTCCACTACAACTCGCTTTTTTATTTTTAACAATTCCACTACGAAATCTCCGAACTTTTAACTTGACCAGAAAACAAAATAACTGCATTCGTTGACCATAGAAAAGGTATCAAGCCAACCGAATCTTCCCAGACCACTAAATACGGAAGTAGAGTGTTGTTCGCAAAAATCAAACAAACGAGCCTCACCTTCCAATTGGATAGTAACCCATTCGTAAGAGGTGGCGTGTTTGTTACAGGAGTGCCTGACTGAAATCTCGAAATATGAATGCACAGAGGGGAAGAAGTTAGTCGTGGTTTTGGCGATCGACAGTAATGTGGATTTTTGACGCTAGTAGTTTGTTCTCATAACTTTGTGTAGTGGCACAGTTCTGAAAACTTCTGGTCGTTTTGGTCTCTACTGTCAACGCTCATACCGTAAACGCCCTCTCCCGTCGACTCAGTACGCAGCTAAGTGTATATCACCATTCTCTTCGAAAAAGACTTTCTTGAGATCGACTAAGGAAAAGACTTGTTAAGTTTGCCAGCATCTGAGTGCCAAATATTTATTCGTAAAACCAAACGAAGCTTCAAATATTCAAAGATTTAAAGGGCAACTCTTCAATCCAACAACTTGCTTTATAAATGAAAAACGCACGCCTTTATGGTGCCACCGTTAAACTTTAGAAATGGGGGGGGGGGCACATGTTCTACCCTTCATGGTATTCTAATGAAAGGTCACATCGAAATAAATTGGTTTGTGGGGGAGGGGGGGTTAAAATTCATTTTACATTTTATCTCTCTTTGTATTCTAATTAAAGGTCTCAACGAAAGGAACCATTTTCTACCAACTCCTGCCCCTCTTTCTGTCCTCTTATCAAAGTACGGGGTGGAAGGGGAGAGGGGAGGAGTGGAGGAGTGGAACTAGTTTTATCCTTCATGGTACTCTAATGAAAGGTCTCAACGAAAGGAATTAATTTCTACCAACCATAGCCCTCCTCCTCGACGTCTTATCGTGATCGGCTATATTCCCTTATACCTCAAGAACGGATTGTCGGAAGAGGGTACTCACAAAGAGCGATTGAGACGTCTGCAAGAAATATATCCATTGGTGATGCCAAAACAAAAGCTATTTTGGTTTTAAAAAAGGCGCTTTATTTGCACAAGAATTGTGCACAATTTATACTTGTTTAGTTATTTGAACTTAGTTTGTAAGTTACTTAAGCCGTAGCTAAGTTATATCTTGATCTTTCAGCTGCAGATGAAGTACTCATAATTCGTACAACACTAAACACAGGATTCAGGCAGACATGTCTTAAACCTACAGAATGTGTTGATTGCTGCGATGGCGATTACATTGAAATATCGGTAAGCATAAATTCGCTGTAAACATAGTTAATGTAACTGTACGTGGTAAATTAAAGGAACATCCCAGCAAACACACTTACGTTTAAAAAACGGTTTTAAAGAGCTTTGATAGGTGAAATTCGGTATTGGTAGTATGGTAAACGTTTTTTGTGTGGACAAATTTTATACCTACGTTTAATATACGATTTGTATTACCATAAAGTTCAGGTTTTACGTTGATAATTCGTATATAAATAACCGTTTTGTAGCATTCGTTTGATAAACGTATATAACACCACTTTAATATACGCATATATGCATATAAATCGTATATCAATGAGCAATAATAAACGCATGGCATTATATTCCCACAACGATGTAGCAGTACCCACCGGGCATTTATCCGTATTATATACGTAGGTTTTAGTCTACCACTAACGCTTTTTATACGGAACTGTGTTGCTAGGGATGGTACAAAAATATGCCACAAATTTTTAGACGTTTAATATCGCGATCTGTTGAAATAGTATCGCCGTAAATTTTGCTGTGTGCATTGATCCCAGGCCAAAAAGGACACAAAAAAAGGCTACAAACCTATAGCTAGCTCTTCAATTTTCTTTTCCCGTCACAGATCCTCACTCTCGCACAGAGAGATGATTCAATTCTGGCTTCAATTAATTTTTTTTCTCTCCCAGACAGTGGGTAAACTGAAAATCCCTAAATTTTGACGAACACTCAAAATGAACTTTGGTCAAGAATCAAATGAAGTTAATCGTGATCTGAACATGAAACTGTTTTAGTCGTTGAAGAAAAGGGTCCGAATTAACACACAACTTACGTGTAAATTACACAGATACCTTTTACTTTACAAAGACACTCGGTAATTAAATGATAAACAAACGTTACAAATAAGCTAATTACTAAGACTTAAGATTCCTTATAGTGTTTCTTCTTTTACATTAGACTGATTTCACATTGACGTAATGTCCATCCAAAAACTTGAAACCTCCGTTAAAATGCTTCGACGAAATGAAAACTATGCTCGCAAACAAACTTCTATCAACACGAACCGAAAACTTGGGTTAAAAATCTTATACGACGAAAAAAATGCAGCTGCCGATGGGCAGCAGTTCGACCTTGATACTGACAAACATGTCTTCTTCTTTGCGTCTGTCGTATTTAATCACAACTCCCCCTTAATTTTTGAAAAACTTAAATATACAATAAACCTGCCTAGCAACGATAGTAATCAATTGATACCGCACGTATACACTCAAATTTATGAAATAAACTTATTTAATTCTAACCATTCTACCAAAGATTACAATTTTTTAATGATTACACTGATCACATTATCTCCGAAACAACTCTCTTTATTTCTTATAAATAAAAGAAGCACCTAATAAATTAACTCGCACTGTCACATTTGGGCTAACAGGCCACTTGGTTACAAATAAAAATTAGAGTTAGAACAATTTTATAAACTTAAAATTCCGAGAAATGTCAAAGTTTAACAGAAAATCAACAAATATAACCTTGACTACACGCTCGTATTGAAAAGTTATTGTGTTAAGACGTAATTAGACCTGGTGATATTAAACAAAGAAAACTAAATTTAAATGAACTAATTAAGAATTAAAAACCCGAGTCCATTCCAAATGTCACAAATTCAAATACAACAATTGTTAACACACACATATTGTATTTAATCCGTAGTCACATACAGTATTACGAGCTACGATTTTTGGCACATCTTGAAAATGTTTGTCATATTTACCGTGTTTTATTTCTAGAATAATGGTATGGGTTGCTTAACTAACGCTGGACACCTTGGATACCGTCAGGACATATTCCTAGGTGCAGGATGTGTAAATCGCAGAGCGGTGCTGCACCTATTCTTACACTCAGTGGGATTTCTACATGAAATAACAAATCCAGATAGGGACCAATACGTTGACATTATAGAAGATAACATAGATCCAGGTAAATGATTTGATTACCGTTTTTACGAATCATTTAAGTTTTTTTTATTCCTTACAGATCAGTTGTACAACTTTGATAAGTATTCATCACAGTTCGTCACAAGTTTCGGGCAACCCTTTGACTATTGCAGCATCATGCAGTACAGTGAATGCGCATTTTCCGCAAATGGGAAGAAAACCATTGTCCCTAAATGGGTATGTGACCTTTATTGTAATTCTGTAAGAAATAATAGTATTCATTTCAGAAACCAGATTGTGATATGGGGAAAGTGGAATCTCTAAGCGACATTGACATACGGAAAGTGAACTTAATGTATAATTGCAGTATACAACTCAATACCTAAGTCTTATGTCTAAAGCCCGTTTGTAACGATTACTTATTTAGTCAAATTTTTAGTCCTTTTTTACTTCAATAAATATCATTCTATCCTAAAAATGTAATGAATGATGAAACTGTATGTAACGTTCCGTAATATTGTCTATGTTATATTAAATCAGAGACTAAATATTTACTTTCTGTAAACTAAGGTCTCTACTGTCAACGTATTATAGGAAGCTTTAAAAAAGAATATAGATTAATTAGATGATCATGTATCTATTGTTAATTTTAAACCTTGCTGCTGCTGTTACTGTTGTTAAAACCGCAGTAATGTATAAAAAAGTAACGAAAAAGTTGCGAAAAGAAAACCTGTGTGGAAATGGTTAAATCTAAGAACAATTCTTGGACCAGGAGTTTTACAAATGTTAAACGATGAACTCGCAGTAGAAGATTGTCCTTCTTACAGGAATTACTTGAGGATGAATAAAGAACAATTGAAGTAAGTAAGATACCAAACTTCGAAATCAGAATTTTTTTCGCGTCCCCAAGTAGGGGTGCGCCCTTTCTTGGTAGGAATTAAAAAAAAAATTTTCAAAATCGGATAGGTCATACCCGAAAACCTATTCAAAGACGTGCCACCCATCTTTGTAACTCTTATGGTTGGCGAGAAAAAAATTAATGAAAAAATCCAAGTTTCACCATTTCTTTGGGGGTGGCTCCCAAACGAAACACGTTGGTCCCTTAGTTTATTTGGAAAAAGTGCTTATCTTGATCCCCTCTATCGCCCAATTTTAATCGATAACGTTAACTCACTACAATTCACTACTTTACAAAGCAGAAATAACTGTTTTTATATAACAAAAGGGTTACATGACGTTATTAAGCCCCCCAGCTACGATCATGAAATTAATAAAAATAGGTAGGGGGTGCCTTAATTAAAGGTTTTCAACAGAAAAAATTTGCGAGAAGAGTCCGAATTTTGTACAATCAAATTTACACAAATTTACTGTAAAAGTTCACTTCATTTCGTCGAAATCTGAGATTGTTATTCGTCATTCTTATGTTGATGAAACAGAAAAATCAGAAGTGTCAGCTAATTTATGTAAAAGATTATCTTAACTTCTTCGTCTACTAAATTGAAATATGCTGGGTGTATTAAAAGTTAATGTAATAAAAGTAGCAGGGCCGTAGCTAGAACGAAAATGTATGGATGCAAACGAAATGTTGGAGGGTGCACTTATTGTTTACAAAAATGAAGTCTCGAGAGACTTGTTTGTCAAAAAACCAAACAATATATTTAAAAAAACTAATTTTATCCAATATACGAGTATATTATATAAATATTAAAAAAAAAACAAAAGATGTAACATAAAATCTGAATCTGAATTATGAACAACAATAATGTATATTTGTGATAATTAATTTACAATGTACAAAAATAGCACTATTGTACATTTTTATTTTACGATTCTGATCGTGATCGGTCAGAGGGTGCCACTTAACACCCAGAGGGTGCCAGGCACTCTCCGGCACCCCCCTGGCTACGGCTCTGAAAAGTAGTCTATGGAGGATGCGAGATATGTGCCTTCCCTTTTCGAGTGATAAGGCTGTCGATGCTAGTCACCGGTTGCTACGAAAAAGCCTTCGACCATTTAAACCTGGACTGCTAGCGTCGTATAATATTTAATATAAAAATTGAAGCCAACATCTGCAGCGCCATCACTGGGTATGACTAAAATGAGAACTAATAAATCTGAGGCGCTAAATATGAAATTTGAAAAGGACAAGTATATCCACACAAAATATTTATAAGATAACTGTTTAACTTTATACCTGATGAATTAATTTATATAATAAATAAATTTGAAGTAGATATAATTTTTGGATAATGATACCAATAGATCGTGGAATAAGCTTTTATTTAACAAATGTACATGTTTATTGCAGCGTCTAACCAATCTCCAGGATAACGGGTCATATCTTCAACTTGTTCTTGGTCGGAGAAACTATCGACATCTTCATTTGATGGATTCGGAAAAATTGAAGGAACCGAATTAGTCTTTTACTTACGCGAAAAACGTTTCTGTTTTAATGTCCTTGTTTTTAAGGTTATAAACTGCATCACATTCATCACATTTTTTTACCAAACAACTTCAGCGTCTCATTTTTAATTAATTATATAAAAGTAACACAACTAACTAACGCAAAATTACATACAATCGCTATAAAACGCCCAAATTAAATCTCGTAACATTGATGTGTGTCAAATTTCGTTTCACAAAACGCACAACTGCCCTGTGATGGCGCTGTAGATGTTGGCTTCAGTAATTTGACTGTGCTAGCAATCCAGTAATTTTTTCATCCAAGGAAAAAGCCGTTAGAAGTTAATCAATAGTTAAGCAGTATTCTCCAAAAGTACCAGTAATTTAAGTCTTCAGGTGTAAATAATTTGCATGTACGTGACTGAAGCAAGTCACGTGATGTCGACTATCTATCTATATGTCGGCCAGGAAATTTTCCAAAGGGGGTGGCAATTCAAATTCGGCGTTTGAACAACGGAAAATTATAAGTAATAGTATGAACAGATGCAGTATTTTTTCTCTAAAAAAAACGTATTTAGACTTTTGCTCTAAAATAATTAGGGGAGCTAGTAATTGACTCTACAGAAATTACCATTGTAATCCCTATGCTGCGTCGCGCTAGGCATCACCCTGTAAACAGTGCTATTTATTAATAAGTAGACATAGAAATTTACATGTATTGTTTTTCTCTATGTCTACTTTTAAATGACAAAATCTCTTCTGAAGGGCGCCTAATTTTATGCAACCAAAATAACTTCTTAATACAAATCAAGCTCTGTCTGTCAAATTAATTAATGGATATTATTGCTTTGGCTTCACAGAAAATAAATCCCTTACGCTTCTTAAACTGCTACCGCCGCTATACCAATTGACAATATCAACGTTTTCTTAAGTTGAATACATCACACACAAACGAGAATCAAAATACGGAAGTTAAAATCACAGTATTTCAATTAACTAATATGACAGCCAGATCTTGATTTGTTTTAAGAAGTTAGTTTGGATGCATTAAACTCGGCCCGTTCAGAAATGATTTGTTCATTTAAAAGTAGACATAGCGAAAACAACATAGGTACATAAATCCCTATATCTGCTTCTTAATAAATAGCACATAAGTTTTTATCAATTATATCGTCTATATAATATGATTATTTGTTTCAAAAATTTCAGTATTTTATATTCGCCATCATGGCAACACAGTATCACACTGTGAATTAAAAAAATTGCGAATCAGAAAAGTAACACAGTTTATCTCTTTGGAAAGAAAATTAAGAAAATCAACTTAAACATATATACAAGTGTATTATAATGTATTATACATTATCATACCTATATTAGAACAGAATTGATCCAAAGGCTAGATATAGGATTGATGTATACCGCAGGTAAATATTACTACACAATGTCGTTTCTGACTTACACGCTTCTGGAATATTTATAACACGTAGCTGTATGTTATTTAAATAATAAAGTATACTTGTTCATACGTGGCTTAAGATATGTCTGCTCTGCTCTGTTGTCATCAGTTTCCTTCCTGCACAGAACGGCGGCTGTACGTGTCCATTTTTGCTTCTAGTCTAAATTTAAATCTGAAATGATATCAGTCATGTACTATACTCTCAATTTCAATAGGTAATTGCTCCTTGGTGTGTAAATCAATATTTAAAAAAAAATGCGCGCAAAATAGGTAATTCAGTTTCAAAGAATTGAAGCTCATAAAACTGAGGTAAATATGAACACAGAGTTAAATAATGAAAAAAATATGTTGAATGCTTGGAAAGTGTAAGTGTAAGCATATGATGTCTGTATCAGGCCTGGTTATCATGGTTTACATACTTATAAAAACATCTAAAGAAAGAATTATGATCTCCCTTTTGCAACATGTTGGTCAAACAGAACATTTTGAGTATAAAGGCTTGGAGCAATATTTGCAAGGACCAATCAGTTGTATTAAAAATGAAAGGCGTAGCTGGGTTTATTTTGTGCATTTTGGTTCATATGCAGATAGATTTCTGTTCTGCGGGAACAACAGAAGCTCCAGGTAATTACTTAAAGTGTACAATAAAATTATTGATAAACGCTGCTATCTTGTACAGTTGAAGAAGTATGCGCAACGCCATTTTATAGGTTAGCCAAGGACATACGAAGGCCAAGGAAACGGAATGGACTAGTTGACACCGAATATCGATGGAAAAATGCCACAATTTGTTATATAATAACTGGAACCTTCAGTAAGTTTATGTTTGATTGTAAACGTATTTATTTACTACACTTCAATTGATTTAATGCAATACATATTCTGGCACACTTCTGCTTTAGCACACATTTCCAAACATAGACAATAGACATACACCGGGTGTCACCCCTATCGGTGTCATACTTTTCTCTCCAAATGTGTTTGAGTATTGAACTCGATAGGAAAAAACCATTACCACTACAAACATTTCAATCAACGTAACGGTAATTTCTAAAGACGCAGATATGACTAGGAAGCTACTTGCGAGAAACTTTCACATGTGACACTGTGAGTAATAAATAAGTGTCGTGATAAACTGTCGAGCAAGTTGGGTGAACCATTACTATCACCATTTCTCACAAAACTGTTTACACTAGCAGCACTTACAATTTCCACAAATACTGCCACACTTAGTTGATTTCGAGTACGTACTGATGATCTGATATTAATGGCGCCAATAAGATATTGTCATGTTGCTGCGGCTGCAGTAGTTTTGTGCACTTAGGTTTAAAACAAAAGATTTCGTGTGTGTTGGGTAAAGGCGCAGAGAGACTAGCAAGTTACTTACGACATGCAGGCTGCATTTGGTAATCCTACTCTTAGTGCATCCAGGAAGGGACTGAATGTTTTGAGGTTGAGGGTTTCTTTGGTTCCTGTTAACAGTTTGGCCACCAGTACTCATCGACAGAGCTTCAACTGTGGTAGGGTTTTCTCCAATTTCATCGGGGCCACCTTAGAATGTACCGTTAACCTGCAGGTTTTTATTGGTCCATTTCCGCACAAATCTTTGCAGGTACCGCTCCTGCACATCGAGGTACCATATGTCTTAGCTCTTCCTACTCTCTTAGGAAAACCTTGTACCTGGATTCCGTTTGTAGAAGGCGACCGGTTGCCTTTCCCAATTTCTTAGCTTCTCCTTTCAGCGACAGGCTCACGGTATAGATGTTGTCTATGTTCCGTGTTATTGATTTTTGATACCTTTCCTCGCATTGATCATCTTCCAGCGATAGGGCTGCGTCTTGGATTTGGATGAAAGAACAGCTTAAAATCTTGTTTGGACATATTACTCCACACCAGGCGGTCGCCAATTAGAATAAGAAATCTTAAAATTGCTTACAGTATTTTTTCTTAATAATCCAAGTAACCTGGTCGTACAAGGTTTGCGATACTAAGCGCACTTAGCTCACACACAAACGCTGACAGCGTATGAACTTCACTTTGCTTTATAACACAGAATTAGATGGCAGAAAAAACTGGCTTGATAAATAAGATGGCAAATTTTCCGTAGCGGTTCAGCCGGTAGAAACTTTTAATAGGAACATACCATGATAGGAACAGAACCTTAATGAAAAACCTCGTTGTATTACAACTGCTGGATATTTCCACTTGACAAACATTTTTCCGTAATCGGACAACACGCGTTAAACTTCCTACACCACTTTGGTTAACCGGCTTCTGCATAAATTTATTACAAAAAATACCGAACTGCGTTTTCAACAAAACAAATAGAGCTGACACCTCGAGAATTTAGCGTAAACAAATGTACACGCTCTTCAATCGTCGCGAAACTAGCAGACTCGTTTTCTTGTTGTCTACAGTATTCAGGGAAATACCATCACCACCCTAGGATAAACTCGTACCTTAAGAATTTTCTAATAAATCGTCAATCACTACGAATCGGTCCAAACGGCCCCACTTCTCCGACCTGAAACGCGCAATCCTTCGTCATCAGAACCAGAACATGTGCGTTAATTTCTAACTTTCCTAACAACAAAACTTCTTATCGCAAACGACCAGATGTAACCTTGTATAAAGTACCAGTACTTGACCAGATGTATCGCATTCTTCCCCTAAACACTCAGTTATTTGTCAGTTTTCAGTGAGTTCAGTCCACAGTTCAGTCCAGGCATGAATGTGTAAGGATGTTTCGCGCCAAGCTTGAACTGAACTGAGCCGCGGCTCGCGAACTTTCAGCGCAATTAAACTCCTAGGCTCCGTTCTTAATTTTCGGTCATTTTCTCCTTTTCTTCTGCGAAAATACTACAATTAGAGTGACAGAAACACATTTCCGTGAAATTCCGCGCTTACATTACGTAGGTTTGCCTCGAAAGTCTGGTCTACGCGATCGAAAAATGCACCGATCGACCTGCACAGGTTCGCTTAGAAAGTTTGACTAAGAGTCTCTCGTCGAATACCAAAGACGAAACGACTCGAACGCAAACCAAGCATTCGCTTTGTTTTTTATGCGTCACGATGGTTTTCAGGACCAGCAACACTGTAACGTTTCGACTTCTTATCTGCTTGAATACTCGTTTCTTATCTTTACGCGCTTTATTTTCTCGAATATTAGTTTTGTTCTTTTTGATTATGAACCCGTACACGTATAAAATTTCCTATATCGGCAAATATGTAAATTTAATAAAAAATCTTTAAAGCCTAAGGCGACCACCTGTTACAACTCAGGTGAAAAAATAAAACTCCAAAAAAATGTTCGGGCAGGTAGGAATATCCAGATAGACAGTATACACCCTTTTAGGAAATGTTACTTTTTTGGAGACTTAGTTTCTCATATGAACGATTTAGCAGGTATAAGAGAACGTGTAACGAACGGAACGTATAAAAAAAGTGAGAAAAAACTTTCATTTTGAAATTGTCACAAGTATCTAAATTCTAACACTTGAGCTAAATCTTGAAATTAAAGGTAGGTAAGTATTAGTGAAATTATCCAACCTACCAAAATGAACTTTGGACGGACGAGTTTCAGTATATTCGTATCAGTAGTAAGTGCAAGGTGGTTCAAATTAGTGGTTCACGATTGGGAACTCCGTAACGGTAAGAGATACTAGATACAGTTAGCACTTTTGTGTACTTTTTCTTTGGAGAATCTAAACACGTTAAATGTAGAAGCTACAGGCTACTACTTTCTTCGTTCTTATGGACGCCATATTGGATTTTTACTGAATGAGATAAAAGAAAAGTTACCGTAGATGTTTTGTTGAATAATTATTGTAAAACATTTGATTTTGAAAAGTTTCTTCTAAACGTATGTTAAAGTATAGAGTGAAACACGTCAATGTTTTTCTTTTTTTGTCCTCTATCTCATTACGTAAACATTCAATATGGCGCCCATAAGAAATAAGAAAGTAGTAGCCTGCAGCTTCTACATCTAGCGTACCATGGAAAGTGCTAACGGGAACCGTCCATTTCGGACCGTTTAAAGCTAGGGAAAATGAAAACAAAATTGACATTTACAGTTTTTCGGTGTTATGTCATGCGTTTTTTTAGTCGCAAAAAGGGGTAACTTTGGCTCCATTTAACCTACAATGCATCTCTCATCGTTTGCGGATATCCCAATGGCGAACCACGAATTTGAAGCGCCCTGTATATTACGTTGTGTAGTCAATGAGATCTCATTAACTATAATTTATAACATTTTTTTTAAATGTAGTTATTTTTGCCTTTATTTTTGAGTGGGCGTGGTTTCAGCCAAAGTTGCTCTACCAACCCAATCCACTATAGGCCAGTCAAATTAGGAAAAATAGCGGAAATAATTGAAAGAAAGCTGAAAATTGGGATAGAGGTACATTAGGGCTTGTATTCGAACATACTAAAAGTCGGGACCAAAACTCCAATGGCTCGAGCCGCCATCTTGGAAAAAAGGTGCTCCAAATCACTTTTTCGCTGATATCTCGGTAACCGTGCATTCTAGCAAGGATATGAAATATATATATAAATATAAATGTAATGTAATGTAATGTAATGTAATGTAATGTAATGTCATGTAATGTAATGTAATGTAATGTAAATATATATATGAAAAAAGAAAGATAATAAAACTTTGTATAAAAAAGATGGTACGCACTTTTTTTGTATTTTCGTTATTTACGTCGATCCACATTGAATATAGAGCATAATCTTTTTTCAGATGCAGGTGCATTACTTTCAGCGCTCGCGTGCTTTAAACATATGTTTAAAAAATTGACTGACATTGTTAAGGCCTGTTGACCACCTAAGAGAAGGAAATAATACATAATATATTTATTTTTATGCTATATAGCCGAATACAAAAGATACCTACATAAGGAAACTAAGAAAAATAAATATTGCCAAAATCCGAAGTCGTCTGAACTACTTGTAATGGATATGGGGCATTTACAAAAAAAATATAAATCAAACTTGACTTCATTTCATAAAAAAAATACTAAAAATAATAAACTAAACTAAACAATTCCATTAACAATTCGCGAAATAGTACATAGCGCTGTTCCAGTATACACACCTGAACTTTTTTCGTGAAAGCGGGATAGGTAAGATATCTTTTTCTATTTCGGTGTCACAATGATGATTTTGTACAACTGTTTTCGGCCGAAAACAGTTGTACAAAGACAGTGATTATAGTCGTTTTTTTTGGTAACTCATCTCTTAAGTTGGCAGTTACTAGTTAGCACAAGTAGGTACTTCGTTGTGTACTTCCATGTTTGAATTTCAAAATGTCAGTCTTACTACGCTGCCAACCTAAAACTTAACGGCATAAAAAGTGTTCCTAACATAAAACATGTTAGTTCTAATGTTCCCTACAGTTTCTGATAATGATTTTTTTAATTAAATTAAAGCACCGAAATAGAAAAAATAGTATGAAAAACGCGTTTTACAATGCTTTCTTGTAATACTTCTATCTTGCGGACACTCGTGGCTACGCTTCGCGTCGCCACTCTTGCCACAAGATAGTCGTATTACAATAGGTCGCATTGTAACACTTGTCTTTCAATATACTATTTTCATTTCGCGCGGTAGAATGGAATAAAGCCTTGGAGCAATGCACTGAGCACATCGTTTACCGATTGTTTTTTCAGACCTTGGAAAAAGTATATTATGGTCTTCCTGGCGTGTATAATGAGCATGTTGGGCAGTCATTTTGGATGTTTTTATGAACTGGAGGATTTTGTTACAGTAAAGTTGGCGTTAATTCATTACATTTGATTCCTTATACAGGGTGGTGCCCAGCGCAACGCAGCACAGAGATGTCAATGGTAATTTCTTTATAGTCAATTACTAGCTCCCCTAATTATTTTAGAGCAAAAATCTAAAGAAGTTTTTTTAGAGAAAAAAATACTGCATTACTTATAATTTTCCGTTTTTCAAAACCGTAGAAATTAACAAAATAAAAAGGTTCATTTTTCAATAAAACAGATATGCCTTGGAATTACCTAAAGATACAGCGATCACGTTTCATTATTTGCCTTGGCGTTTATTAAATTTATACTTGTTTATAAATTAGTTAATCATAAAATTGTTTATCATGTATTTAACTGACGAGAAATGTTAAAGTTAAAGTTGTTTTATGCTGGAAATAATGCCCGCCAAGTAACGTGTGTATTTAGTGTTAAGTAACCCAATTGGCCGATTCCAAGCAGTAGGTAGGTACAAGATTACAGAATTAAATATAAAAATCGTTGGACGTCAAACAACAATAACTTACATGCGATGCGCTTGTAGTTTGTTAAAAGATTCCCAAACATCAAGCATCACTGATTTATAAAAATGTAATTTTTTATTTTGTCGATTTCTACGGTTTTGAAAAACGGAAAATAATTATAAGTAATCGTATGAACAGATGCAGTATTTTTTTCTCTACAAAAACTTCTTTAGACTTTTGCTCTAAAATAATTAGGGGAGCTAGTAATTGACTATAAAGAAATTACCATTGACATCCCTGTGCTGCGTCGTGCTAGGCACCACCCTGTATAAGGCTGTATAAGGATTCACTAGCATAAAATACCCCCAGCCAACAATTCCATACATTAACAGTGATTGTATTAACGAGAAATACAAAACACACATCTGTTGAGTGAGTACGATATGTCGTAAGTGTTTAATTTTAGATAAAACTGCCCTTCTCTTCACTGGTCAACGGGCCCTAAAATGTCAACTAAATCAATTTTTTAAACATATTCATGTTTAAAGCACGCGGGCGCTGAAAGTAATGCACCTACATCTGAAAAAAGATTATGCTCTATATTCAATGTGGAATATCGACGTAAATATCGAAAATACAAAAAAAGTGCATACCATCTTTTTTATACAAAATTTTATTATCTTTCTTTTTTTATATGAAACTTTACTTGCTAGAATGCACGATTACCGAGATATCAGCGAAAAAGTGATTTGGAGTACCTCTTTTCCAAGATGGTGGCTCGAGCTCTAGGAGTTTCGACCCCGACTTTTAGTATGTTCGAATACAAGCCCTAATGTACCTCTATACCAATTTTCACCTTTCTTTCAATTACTTCCGCTATTCGTGGAAATTTGATCTAATTTGACTGTACTACTATATATTTACAAATATCCATCCGAACCCGGATTCGAACCATAGACCCTTAGTACCGTAGTCCAGCTTCAACTGAACTGCGCCACACGGGCCGGCAAGTTGACTATAGGAAATGTTAATTGTTTTTCCATATTTTAAAAAGCAACATGTGTTGGAAGCACATTTTCAAACGTTTAGTGTGATTGCAAACTCATATTTAAAATACGACGTCGTGTAAAATCAATAATCTGGAATTTTCATTATACTTATAATTGAAATATTACTCGCTTGGTCTTGGTCACTCAATTGCATCTTTTGTGTTTCAAGCTGAGGAAGAGCAGAAAACTATTAGAACATCTCTGGCCACAGGATTCGTGGGAACGTGTCTCAGAGCAATAGAGTGCAAAGATTGTTGCGGTGGGGACTATGTATTTATAAAGGTAAACATCTTATCCTTGCCACAAAAGATTTTCCCTGCGTCACAATCTTTTCAATTAAACTATGGCACGTGATTAAATGAATACGTGAGTTGCGATCACCCAGAGACAGTCTTTTGGTAATGGCTTATCTTACTTTTTATATTTGGTATTGTAGAATGATGAGCCAGGTTGTTTATCTCCGGTTGGACGCGTGGACGGCCCTCAAGAGTTAAACTTGGGGGAAGGTTGCACGGAGAAGGGCACTATATTGCACGAAACCTTGCATGCAGCTGGGTTCACGCATGAGCAAAACAACCCAAACAGAGATGACTACGTTATCGTGTTGGAAGAAAACGTAATCCCTGGTGATATGAAACTCATTCAGTGATACAGTTGCTATTGTTATTTGCAGATGAACTGGTCAATTTTGAAAAGTTCTCACCCGATTACGTAACGAGTTTTGGAGCCCCTTATGATGTTTGCAGTATTATGCATTACGACGAATGCTCCTTTTCTGTAAATGGCAAAAAGACTCTTCTTCCCAAGGAGGTATGGAAGCGACTGCTCTCTGATACATCTAATTTTGTAATTTTTTCTAGCCACCAAATTGTACTATGGGATTTATAAATGAACTAAGCCCAATTGATAGACTCAAAGTAAATTTGATGTACAACTGTACTGACTATTTATTGGACTGTGATTAAGATATCTAATGTAAAGCGATGTAAGTTTTGTTGTGAAGATCATTAATAACATTTGTGCAACGTTTGTAAATGTTTATCAAACTAATAAACGTGAATTTCAGTGTCAGTTTCATTTTCAAAATCTTAATTAAAAAGGAGGGTTGAGTGATCCGTTATTCCGTTAGTGTAAGCTAAAGGGAACGGAAGTGTTTTTTCTAGTAAGACATGCTTATATTATTTAGTTTCGGAAGAAATTAAAATCAATGGTTTCGGTAAGTTAAGTGTTAAACATAATTTATTTTTCGAACGATTGTTTAAACCATGTACTACGTTCCGATAGTGATACTGTATATTCTCTGCTCGTTTAGGAGTGGTTTGGCATCAGAAAAAGGTTATACTTATAATGTATTGCGTTCGTTTCTTTTCAAGGGTGGAAATTTCACTCGTGTTGATAGGTAATACTGAATAAGCTAGTATAAGTGACGTCTGTCACAACTTTACAGCCACGCAAAACATATGTTACCATGTGTTGAGTAGTACTCTACTGTGCAACGAACCTAACATTAAATTACTAACAAATTTCCAAAAATGTGTGGTGTCAATTTTGAGAGACTATGAAAGACTGGTTTTCTAATCTTAGTAAAACAAAAAAGAGAAGAGTAGGATAAATAAACCATGTTACGATAACTGAGTTCTGGCAAATCTGGTTATGCAAGTACCAAGAAGTGTTTGCAGGTAACTTGTGAAAATTCTCGTAATTGCTCTTTTTCTCTAAAATTATCTACATAGCTTATCTATCTATAGCTACCTGCTTATCGCTTAAAATAGGTACAGCGGCATATAGTTCGTCATCGCCAGATATTTTGATATTCCGACACGCAGCGCTCGCATGCGTGTATGTACACTAATATTTGAATCAATAAAATACTATGATCTGATTCCCGTAACAAAGTAATCATAGGCAGAATGCTTTCAATCGAAATTTAACCCTTATATACGGAGTTAACAATAATAATAATGTTTTATTTGCCCAACAGAAACACCCATTTAAAGGACAAACGCGAAAATACACAAAGAAAAGTTATTAATACTAAATTAGAGTAAATGAGTAAATGTGAAAATAAACAAAAAGAAAACGAAACATTTTGGTCAGCAGAAATAACAAATAAATACGAAAAAAATCGCTTTTGTTTGGTCAATGGCGCGGTAAACGAATAATGCAAGGTTACATTAATTTATTGAAATTGAGTGAGTTTTGCACGCGGAGGATGGTCTTCATCCGATTTCAATGTAAGTTAGTCCTTAAATGTATTTTGTCCCTTGTTTTTTATCTTTTCCAAAATGGACGTTTGCAAACATAAATTTTTTTGTCTTAACAACAATAAAGATTATTATTATTATGAAAAACCCGGTTTCAACCGGTAACTAATTTTTTTTGTAAAAAAATATTACATAGCCTGGACTAAAAATTTTCTAGTTGCGTCACTGATACATAATGATAAAAAGAGAAATTAATATAAAATCAGAATACTGTTCCTGAACATTGCGGCAACCGTCTGTCACAATAAACGAGACAGTCCGTTGACGTGCTTTGACATTTTTATACGCGTGTTTGTTTGCAAAGAACGTTGAAATTTTAAACAAAATATTTTTAAGCAACATGTAAAAAACCTATGGCTGTCGGCAATAACTAGTGATAAAAAGGGAGTTTAGCAATAAAATAAAAGTATATTTGTTTGTACAAACGAACCCTCTGCTTGCATGAATGCTTCATATAAACATCTCGGCATATGCGTCCCCATTCGCGTTCAGCACGCTACGTACGACGGGAAGTTGGGGTTAAAGGCCACCCTGTTAGAATTACTTTAACGAGTTTTGCTTTTCGTATGAAACTCGCTCATGCCAATCATATTTGGTGTATCTGTCATTGACTGCGCGTAAAATGTACCTCCAATTATCATCTCTCATTGAATACAAAAACTAAATAAAAAAGTTATTTTCAGAGAGGCTACGTGCTGTATTGTTAGTCAAACGTAGCAAATAATCGACAATAAGCCAAAAACTAACCGGCGGCCCGTCGCTCACAATCCATAGATAGTAACGTATGGAAATAGAACAATGTGCTCAGAATTCATAAAAAGAATTGAATTTTATTCTTTTGGGGCATTATTCTGATTTAAATTGTTTTCTATTGACAGTAAATTGGTTTTTGAATAATTTACTGCAAGTCAGGAGCGAGTCTCGACTTTAACAGTCAACAACGCATTTGTCCATGCAGCTTTGTTTAATTAAATTCGTAATTTTATTTACACCGGCTAGAAAATATAACACAGCAATACGTACCATTGTTTAATATGGGACGTTGGCTAAAACACATTTTATAACTTTTTTACATATAGAATAGAGGATAGGACTTCCCGTCCTATATATGGAAAAACGTTACCCACAATGCAGCTGTGACTGGCAGTACAATAGTCAGGCGTAAAAACGAGAAACAAATTGCTTTAATGAAACTTTCTGTGTTAAAAACTGTGGAAATGACGAAAATGTATTTTAAAGATATACTAATGCTACTTGTAGGCATTAAATTAAGAACCGGGTTTTACTTTTCACTTGAATCCAATTGATATCCCCCTATACGAATTGTTTCCATCGATATTACTTGTCAGACAAACCGAACTTTAGTTAAGATATTACTTATTAGTGAAGCAAAAGAATAGTGTAGTATGTAAAAAGGGAATAGTGGAACATTTATAGTAAATATTAATAACCTTTTAGCCGCTTCACTCGATTTTAAACATTTACATAATTGTGCAATTGGAACACACAACATAAGGTGTTGTCAAAAATAACAATTCTATTTCTATACACAATTAATGTACACCAAATTTCATAACAAATTTATTACTTAACAAGAACAGCAATTTTTGTTCTGCGAATATATAAAAATATTCAGTCCTACAACGCAAAAAATACACGAGGCACGTTAACAAATATGTCGATTTTAATTTCAAAATTCCCTTAATTACTTTGAAGTTTTGAAACAAAGCATTTGTAATCATCATAAATGATCATAATATATACTGACTTCTCCAAAGCATTTGACAAGGTAGATTACAGCTTGGTGCTGAGCAAATTGGACAAAATTGGTTTCTCTACTTCGCTTCTCCTACTGTTTGAATCATACCTTAGTGGTAGACTACAACGTGTTCAATACAAAAATTACATATCTGACTCTGCTGTCGTTACGTCAGGAGTTCCGCAAGGATCTAACCTCGGTCCCCTAGTGTTCTTAATCTTCATAAATGATTTGCCTTCTTTACTTTCCTGTAACACCTTACTATTCGCTGACGATTTAAGATTTTTACATCCATTTATAGTAATGATGATTGCGTTTACCTCCAAACACAAATAAATAAACTTAGTGAATGGTGTTCAAAAAACAATCTTCACTTAAGCATAATGCAAAGTAGTTTCGTTTTCAAGAAAATATCAACCTCTTTTGCATCCTTATCAATTTAATGATATTCAGTTTAAACGTTGTACATCGGTCACGGATTTGGGAATTATATTTGATCTCAAACTTTCCTTTTCGGAACATATATCGGTGACTATTGCTTCTGCTCTAAAAATCCTTGGCCTTATTATCAGAAATTGTCGTGATTTTTCCAATATTTTTGCTATCAAATCTCTGTATGCTGCGATCCAAACTAGAGTATGGTGCTCTTATTTGGTATCCTTACTACGACTGCCATAGAACAACCCTGGAAGCAGTGCAGCGTAACTTTCTGAAGTTTTTATCGTTTAAATTGGACAGAGTTTATCCCGCAATTGGTACTGATCATCAACTACTGTTATCTCGATTTCAGGTACATTCTTTAGAAGTTCGCAGAACTCTGTCAAGCCTTAACTTTCTCTTCAATGACTATTCAACCTCAAAAAATCCGGATTGAACAGATTAACTATCTACCTAATATGTTAGGATAACAATTATTGCATAGATTAAGTTACAATTAATACCAATACGGTGAGATTTCAGAGCAGGAACGCATGGTTTGCAAATTATAAACGAATGATCAGTAAATTAATGCACACTATACTGCATTCATTATGAGAAGGTAGTAGATGGCGCTGTGGTTGAAGATCGACACACACAGGAAAAATATAAAACGGCACAAAATTTGAAAAATATACATATAAATCAAACGATATCACGCTTGGATCTTTGAAATTGACTGCTAATGACAATTCAACAGTTTAGTTCGTAACTGAAACTTCTAAAAGACAGAATTCGTCATTCGTTTTATTTTTCAGGGTAATACTGACTCGTGTTTTAAACAATCACAGTGAAGGTCAAACTGTCCCTATGCTTTCTACCGCTACCTTCTTAAAATGAATAGCGTATAATTATTTGTTTAGATGGTAGGTACCTACGTAAGAAAATTAACTGTATATAAACCAAAGATTGATTAGGAATAAATTAGTATTTAGCGAATGCTTTTACCCATTTTGGGTGTAAGGTTTTCAGTCTTCAATTTGGCATAAATGACGCTCAGCCGCCTTACAATTATGACACGAAATAATAATAGGACCTGGAAATAAGATAAAAATGGCTGCAGAAAAAGCTTGCAGCATCAAACTACCAAAGATGATGCTACCGATATTTATTGATAGCGCCGAAAATTAGATGACCTTCCAGGCCATCTTCGAAAAGGTAATACACGAGTCCAGTCGCGGGAAGCGATGCCCCAGGCAAAAAGAGCAAGGTATGTTTCAGACCAAGGGCAGCCACTATGGTAGATCTACATATCTAAAAATCAAGAAGTAGCGGTAGCCAGCATGGTAGCTCGAGCAGAAGAGAAGAACAGCTGGAAAAAATTGGGGAAATTCCAAGAGTAGAATGTCCCAACAAGATGAAGAATGTGAAGAACACATGAACTAGTCCAGTCCCACAACAGAGCGGAAAGTAGTATTTGACGCATTGTCTAAAGTTGCTAATATAAACAGAGCTAATATAAACAGTAAATAAAATTAAGCACGTGGGACCAACAGC